GCAGCCCGCGACTGATGACCAAATAACTTCTTGAGATTGAGGAGCATGTCTGCTGCAGTGTTCATAGACTGATGTTTATGTTGAAGTACATTTGACAAGGATGCCAAGATGTAACACTTGGCCATCTCGTCAGCCTTTTTCCACTGAGCATACTCCTATTTCTCTTGGTCTGGTGCATTGTCAGCAGGCACAGCCGGACAAGCCTCAACAGTAGCAAATTTGTACCCTTCAGCAGTTAACACTATATCCAAGTTCCTTTTCCAGTCAATATAATTGGGACCAACAAGTTTGTTTTCTTTGAGAATTACGGACAACGGATTGAAAGACATTTTGAATTCCTGGGATCATGCAAACATAGTCTTTACTCAGTCAAGTAGTTTTGAATTATACATCAAATACTGATCCCATGTAACAATATTCAAATAAATTCACCAACACCTCAAAACACCGAAGCCCTGCAGGCCACGGAGTGTGGACGTCTACGGTTCAAACATTCGCAAGAGGAGGGATAAATCCCATTAGCTTAACATACTGCCGAGCAATACTTAACTAATAGTCGGTTTCATTGTTTGGCCAGCGCAATTAACTTTATAAAAGAATAAAAACGACCTTATCCTTTGGGACTATCGTAATTATTTGCACTTTAAGTGTAACCCATTAATTGGTACTAACTTTACAACCAAAATTATACGTCCACCTTTGGGTGACCCGTACGCTTTTGAAATAGCTCACTATAACCATCCCGAAGGAGATTCGTCCTTGTGAACTGTGAAATTAAACGTCCTTTGGGCTCGAATTAAATCACTTCACTGACAAATCTATAATGGAGGCCTTGGATGTAATTTATTTCAACCCATTACACACTTAATATAATTTTATTTTATGGGATTTTCTAAAACATGTTTGTATTTGCACATAAGCAATCACATAAAACATGCATGATTAATGAGCAACAATAAACTAGGAACTATAATCCACCTATTATGGCCATTAATCAATCTCCAATGTTACGAAGAAAACACAGTCCTGTCCTTGTTGAGTGTGCCCTCCGTTTCAAGTATTGGAACTCCCCTTTCGCAGTGACTCCCACTGAATTGGTTGTCTCCGGGAAAGTCGCCATTGGATCATCACCATGGCTTCCGTGTATGTGTTTATCGCCTTGCCCTGTCAAGGTTGGTCCATGCCCGCCGGATCAATAATGAAAAATACAAAACAATTACATAATTCATCCAATGACCCACGCAGGAGTCGTACATGAGTTTCTATGAAAGCAATAAACTATGCGGTGTCCCACCGCGCGAATAATTTATTACAAGCATTTACCAACCCAAAAATTCATTGACATGTCCAAGGCTTTAAAAACAGCATACATTCAACATGAATTAAAATCCATACATACGAGCCACAATAGTCGGATTCGAAACACCGACATAAACTTATTGCAATTTCTAATCTACTATGCCGCTGCGTCCGTACGCACATAATTCATGTAGACAGGCAAAGTCCAAAATTCAAACTATGCACGAGTTTGCATTAAGCCTGGGCTCTGATACCAGTTGTTGGGTTCTGTGAGGAACGTCAAACAACATGCACCGTATTGAACTTTCTCGAAATAAATCCTAACGCAGTGGAATCTATAGTTAGGATATGGACGTTTACCTTTTAAATTTTTTGCCGACTCTGAGACGATGTAGAGTACCGTTGATGAAGTTCTTTTGAACACCACAATCTAATGGGCGGATAGATTTGGCCTTTACAACATGCACAGAATTGAACTTTATCGAAATAAATCCTAACGCAGTGGAATCTATAGTTAGGATATGGACGTTTACATTTTAAAATTTTTGCCGACTCTGAGACGATGTAGAGTACCGTTGATGAAGTTCGTCTGAACACCACAATCTAATGGGCGGATAGATTTGGCATTTAGTCGATTCTAATCGACATGTCAAACGGATCAGGGTTGCACGGTGGCTTGGTCTCGGCGTCGGGTTGCAGCGGCGACTTGTGCGTGTCGGGCGCGGGTGAGCAGCGGGTTGGTCGGGGGCGTTGGGCGCGTCGGGCGCTGAGCAGACACGCGGAGAGACGCTGAGAATGCAGACGGGCGCTGGCGAGGAGCTGGCTTGTTGCGAACGTGCGCTGGGTGCGAGCAATGACGTAGGGCGCGTTGTGTCGCGGGACTCTTATGACTGGGCGGACTGGCGCTGGCGTCTTGGAACACGCGGGCACGCTGAAGGCGTCTCCTGGGCGCTCGAGGAATAGCACGCGAGTGTCAGGCGGGCGCTGGGACCTCGTGCGTTTGTCGGCTGGCAGCGGGACAAGAACAGCGAGCAGGTGGGCAGCTCGCGATCGTTGTTGGGCATCACGGACGAAGCCTGGCGGGGCGCGACTGCGAGCGGAGGCTTGCGGATGTGCTCGGCTGGGCTCGGGCGGCGACCGACAGCGATGGAATTTTTCGGTGAATCCTCACGGCGGCGGACGACGGCGATTATGTGATGATGATGACCGGAAATATATGTATATTAGAGGCTCAATGTATTGTACCAAAAAGCCTTCTAATAGATTACCTAAACACCTACTTCGATTAAACTTGGTGGAGTGTTTAATCGAATTTCCCTAACTCTCGAACAAAGCTATTTCTCGTGTGTATGTAGAGGAGAAAATCGGCCAACATCAACTATGTAGGAGAGATTGGGACATGACGTATTTATAGGCTCCATTAGGGACCTTAAGGAGGTGCTAAATATGGGTTTATCTCATTTAGGCCTAGGAATCCTAATTCTACTCCAATACTAATTTAATGTAGGAAGGAGATCTCCTACTAATCTCCATCTTCTAGAAGACTCCTTAGTCTCCTAATCCCAAGAGAAGATTCTAGTAGGAATTTTATTCTCCTAATTAAATTAATTAATATGGAATAAAATTAATTCCTATTTAAATAGAATTATATAATAAAACATCCCACTAGAGTAATATTATTGCTCTCGCCATTTGGCCACTATTTTACCAATAAAATTGAGCCTCCATG